GAAAGAGAAGAATCAATCATGAATCACATTTTTTTGGAAAGAGATTGTCTTTAAACTCCAAGACAACATTTCTTTTCTGTTTGAATAAACAAATGACCAATGCAAGAATTTCCACTGGAGGTAAAATATTTTTCCGCACGCCCGAATCCTGTTAAAATATTTAGATTGTTATTTAAATTATAAAATCGATTCAAATTATGCTGCTGTTAACCAAAAATACCACGTCCCAATTGTCCTAAATCGTAAACTTATTACCAAGTATAGAAACTCAACCAAAAAAGCACCGAACTACCAATCAAACAGTAATCCAAATAACAACTTACTAACATAGGCTCATTCGTTTGGCGAAAATTTCCGACTAGCTAGAGCTCTTAGAGATCCCACTACTTTGGTGCCGAATATCAAACTTGTCCACATTTACCAAAGGCATAGTACTTTCATTCCTAATCCTCTTTATATTAGGGCTCACCAAACCCCTATGCCTAAAGCCATACAAGTCCAAAACTTGATTATCCGCAAAGTTGAAAGCTCTCTCCATACTCTTCAAACACCTCTCAACCGGATAATCCCCATAACTTCCGCACGGCTTGCAACCGACAAAATGGGTCACAAACGGCCACCTGTCATCACCCAAGCCCGAATGATACTTCTCGATCATATCCTCATAATGGTCGACTAAACCCTCCCAAAACCCGTGCAGATAAAACGTGTTCTCTATAAAAACCTTCTCCATCCACCTGTCTTTCTGAGAAAGGAGAAGGTATACCAATGCAGACTGATCATCCGCTTCGAATGTGGGCCGGCCCTTGAGATGGGCCGTTAGGATCTTGCCAGCTTCTTCGCGGATCGGGCCTTTAGGGCCCATTGGAGCCCAAGCATCAAGCAAATCTAATGACCACTGGCAATTGCGCAACAAGAAGCTGCCCGTGTTTAACGCGATCCACGATTTGTGTTCGAACAATAAATCGGGATAACCATGGATGACCAAATTATAGTCTTTATACCTGCTAGATGGGATTTCGAATGCCATATCTGTAAACAGGGCATCACTGTCCATCCACCATATCCACTCGACTTCAGGATGAGATAACATTAGGCGGCGTATTAATGGCAGCTTGGCCCAGTATCCAGACATCTCTTTATCCAAATGGGCCATATTGTAAACAATCTCAATCCCATGAATCCTACAGTAATCAATCTTGTTCTTCAGGGATTTAAGCAAGTAATGATCTCCGATTGCGTTATCACACGGGCCGGGATGCGAGCCTGTTACCAGCAGAATTCTAGGCTTGCCATTGACATAATTGGGGAAATTAGGGTTTTTCTCGAGCCATACCTTGCGATCATCGTCCCACGAGCTGATCTTTGGGCCTAAGCTGAAGGTTGCATTGAGTACGAGGGAGTCGTCGTCTTGTTGCTGGTTGTCCGGGTCGGATGGATCCTTGTCGGATCGGATCTCGTCCAGGACCCGGTTTGTTTCCTCGATGAGATGCCGGCTCTCAGCCTCGGCCTCGAAGGAGGCGAGGTTGCTGAGCCCGATGGTGCCGCGGAGGACGAGGATGGTGACGAAGCCGCAGAGGATGGTGATCTTGATGCTGTTGAAGGTCTTCTGGATCTGCCGCCCGCGGGGGAGGAGGGAGGCGGAGCGGCCGCCAGCTCCGCCGTTCGCGGCCGTGGTAGGAAGAGGGGCGGAGCTCCGCTTCTGCGCGGAGAGTGCGGTCTCCGAACCCATCAGCTGCCGGAAAAAGGGGTTTGCAAGAAAAGCTGAAAAAAAGGAGGGGTTTAATGTTTTAGCTCAGTGTTCGATTTCAGCTGTGTGAATCGCCATTGATGGGTTCACCGAGGTTTTCACTCCCAATGTACTCTCTCTCTCTCTCTTTCCAGAGAAAATGGGATCAAGGACAGGGCGAAGGAGGTGAAAGAAACAAGGACCGACTGAGATTTTTTCGATTTTTGCTGTAAAGATTGGAGCTTTTTCTTGGATTGTTTAATGGAGATGGTGAGGTGAGAGGATNGTGGGCTTTATGCTTTATGTGTGTTTGGCGGATTCGTTAATACCGGGATTACTGTTTGTCCATGTAAATATTTTAAACGAATAACTAATTGATTATTGAGGAAATTACACCCAACACCTTCAAATATGATTTATATTACATTTATATAATCATTATATTTTTATTTATAAAATTACTAAATCAAGCAAAAAATATTACAATTTTACCTAAGATTTGGACTAATATATCTAACCGTCTGTTAAGAAATTTTTGGCAAATTAAATGCAATTGAAATCATTAAGTGAGATTAAATATATACTTACCAAAACAATCGGACCAATATATATCCTCTCTCTCTCTGCAAAACCACTCCTCACCGCCCCACGTTCAACTCCCTTTTCTGCATAAAACCTCTCCTTCAATGGCGAAGACCAAAATCACCAGATCTACTCGAAAAAATTCTATATCGTCGATCCTCTCCTGTCGGAAAATTTTGGCTTCCTTTCGGCTTGTGAGTGGCAGGTCATCGGACGGCCAACTTCAGCCAAGGGTGGTGGGAACTCGCGTTATTTGTCGGGTATATACAGTACTAGTATTCGACATGTGCATTTGCACAGATATAAATAAATTATTGTGAGTCTGTACATATAATGATTAATTATTTTTCTTTCATTTTTTTGCAGACCAAATTTACAATTAAAAGAGTTGGAATATTTTTTTTTTAAATTGCGTTTATCTGATTGGATGTAATGTATATTTTGGTACGTCTTTTATTTGTGAATTATTTATTATTTATTTAGAAATTTCAAATATATTTTTTATTTTCAAAATAAAATTAAATGTAACAACAATAATAACATCTAATCACATTATACGGTCAACACGTTATATGGTCAACTGTCATTAATCAAAAGTTTAAAATGATTTTTGTAATTTTGAAGTGATGAGTATTAATTATTTAATGATTAAATGAAAGATTAAATACATCAAAATGTAACGGTTTTTTGAGGGAAAATTGTTAAATTGCCACATAGGTAAAATTAAATAGGTTTTATTAAATTCTATTAGCTAGTAATTATATATATATAGATATGTACAATATATTGTGGTATATGTATAGTATATGTATAATATATTGTGGTATATGTACAGTATATTATAAATATATGTACAGTATATGTTAAAGATGTATATATATGGTATCAGGATAAAAAGATGAAGCCATCATCGGCGATGAAGATTTCCTGCGATTTCGTACTTTTCACCCGATTTTTGCTCCCCGCGCAGCGATGCTCGACCCGATCGTTTTCCTCGTGCTCCAATCGATTTGAAAGGGCCTTTTCGATCTGCCCGGATCGAATTACTTCTCCTATTCGCCGGAGTCTACTGCGACGACGATAGGATGGTGGCCCGCAATCTAGCCCTCAATATTTGCAAGATTTTTTTTTTTTTTTTTGTTTTTTTTTTTGTTTTTGTGGAATGAACGGGAATCACGCCAAAGGGAAGTAACAGAATTTAGGATACTTCAAATTAATGTCATCTATTAGGTACATACATAATTATTTATATTTGGATGGTATATGCGTAATATTTTCTATATCACGTAGGATAACTGAAAATTTCCCTTTTTTTTTTAACTGATCGGCCAATATTTATCCATTAAAAGAAAATTATAATAAATTTTTTATATATTAAATATTATCTTACCTTTTTCTTTACCAATATCTGAATCTAACCATGAATTATTCAATTATATTATCACTTTTATATTAAGTTAGTTTTAATTGTCACGATTTTATTTTATATGCACAATTTAATCTCACTTTTTCTAATTTTTTTTTTTTTACTTTTCATCTCTTTTTTATAGTGACTAATTCTTTTTGAAGAAAGTCTTATATCCAACTTGCAGCCTTTCTTTTTTATTTTTTTCAACCCTTTTTTTACTTGGTTTTATTTTTCAATATATGTTTTAACTATTGAACATGACAGAAATTGGGGAAAAACGGTGTTGTCCCACTAACATAAAGCGCACCATGAACAGAAAAAGTCCATATGAAGCTTGAACAGAAAAAGTCCATATGAAGCTTAAGTGGGGTTCCATCCCAAAACCAATTGGTGGAAGGAATAGTCCATTAAACTTATATGTGGGACAACTCACAAGTGATATTCTACTATAACAAAAATACATATTTATATACTCGAGTATTATACTATTTAAATAAAATACATATTTATACCATCAAATGTCATACTTCCACGTATATTGTTTTTAAAGTTTGACAATTTCTAATTGAAGTATACACATTTGTATAAAATTGTTGATTGATATATATACGTCGCCTAATTGGCGAACAATAGCATTTGTATTAGGGACATGAAGAAGTACAATTGATATCAATGCATTGTTCTAAACAATGCCGCTTGCTATAACATTTTCAACCAAATTCGTTGTTGTGTAGTCAAATTAAGACTGACATATGATATCCCTTAATAATCTGAAGTAAGGATTAACAGAAATTTACCGAATTAAGACATATGATCTCCCTTAATAATCTGAAGTAAGAATTAACAGGAATTTAATATTAATTCAGAATTTCAAAAAACTTTTTGAGAATTTAAAAATGTTAGTATATTTGATTTAAAATTTTTTAAAACTTTCAAAATTTTTAAAAGTATTCATTTAAAATAGTCTTCAAAAATTACTGAGGCATTCAATTTGTTTATCAATGTTGTTTACTTAAACATTTTAAGACTTATTAAAATTTCAAAGAAAACATACATATACAAAATCCTTCACCAAATCCCATTCACAGACTTAAAATTTCTAAAAAGAAATTAAAAAAAATCACAAAAAATATAGAATTAGAACAATCTTAAAATGTGACTCAAAATCTAATTGATTTGATATGTGTGCATATGTGTGCCTTGATGGTCCTATTTTAAATTCAAGTATGTCAAACAACAAAACTCAAATACTCAATAGCATTAATCAAAAACCCTGTTCGAGATCTTAATGATAAATGAAATTACACATATATTTTAAACTGAAAACAGCCCCTACAATTTCTCAGATGGGAACATGACAGAAAATTATAGAGAACTTATTAGAACATACAAATAACAACACATTACAAAAAGAAAGACGAATCCCCAAAATCCATAGCAAATCAAAACTAGGCTTGATATTCATGAGTCCAATTATTCGAAATTCAGATATCAACACACCCCCGTCATTCTGTAGTAGTCACTCATAAGTTGAAAATTAATGAAGTAATAACCAAGACCTATGTAAAAAGTGTATGAACACCAACCATTAATCCCACGTGGCGCCCATGTCATCATCCACGTCAACTAGAGGGCCCACCAAAACATTAATCAAGATATGGGTGACAATGATTGGCGAAAACACAAACACGACATGGTTAGAAAACACGATTATAGAGACAAGTGATACGATGGTCCCGAAACACAAAAAAATAAAGAAAATAAAAAAATAGTTAATTTGAAATTGTTATCGCATTTATGAACTAAATAAAAAAGATAACAGAAAAACAATATAATCCCGAACAAGACTATGATAGCACAATTTGCCACCCACATACCAAAACTTAATGAGCATCCCATCCCATAATATTTGATAGTAAATAAATAAGCTTTACACATAAGAAACGTCACTACATTTATTAATCTTTTCCTTTGGAAAAATGACTCAAAGTTCAGTATCCAGGCAGAGAATGAACTATAAGTCAGCAGAAACTGTAAAAAACACAAACTTGTTCATTTTCCCTACTAATCAAATCCACCCGCTACTTTTACACGGCACACCCTCGATTTAACATATGTATGCAGNACAAAAAAAAAAAAAAGGTAAAACGAAAAGTAATACCTTCATTAATCGAAAACTGCATCACGATCACGATTCATCCTCGGGTAAGAAAACCACATTAGAATGGTCATCCTCGTCATAATCTTCCTCTTCCTCCTCGTCATCCTCTGTATAGGCCGGCTGTCCATTAAGATCCACACTCATCACCCCATTCACCTTCCTCACGAACTGTCCCCTTAGTCGAGGCCTACGCTCAGCAAGCTTCTTTCGGTTTACATACCGAATCTTTTTATCAAAACACCTTTCTTTCCTTTTCTGTCTGAACTTCATCAAAGCTGCCTCCCGACGGTCGATCTTTGCTGGCGGCTTCTCAGTCCCCTCAACAGACGGGCTCCCAAATGAAGGCCATTGATGGTGAGGATGATGATGAGGTGGGCCCGGAATCGGGCCCGATTGAATCTGGCCCGGCTGCAAGCATAAGCCAAATGGGTAATAAGGGTAGGGTGGCATAATGTGATTGTGGGGTCCACCGGGCTGCATTGCTGCAGCTGCTGCCACCTGGCTCATCATGGCGGGGGGCACGTAGTAAGGGTATGGGGCGGAATGCGGGTAATGATGATGATTGGAGAGATGATCGTTGGGCAGCGAGTTGTTCCTTAAGATGAAATGAGGTTGTTGTTGTTGTTGTTGTGCGAATTCGTCTGTGGATAGTGGAGAGGGAGTAGTAGTAAAGGATTGTTTTTCGAGGGAAAACGAGTTGGAGTTGATTTGGTAATGGTTTTCCGTGGGGGCTCTGTTGTTTTCTTCTTGTCTTTGGTTTGGTAAGTTTTCATGCAAAGGGGAAGGGTCGTGTGTGCTGCTGCTTTTGGGCGTGGATGATTTTACGTATGCGAAGAAAGCGGATGATTCGCCTATCCTGAGTTCTTTCTTCTTTGGGAGTGGTGAACTTTGTCCTGGGAGGTGATTATTTATTAGCTAAAATTTTATGATATTAAACGCGTGTATTTATAAACAGAAGTATAATATGTTTTTGTAGGTTCTTGAAAATTGAATGAAGTATGTTATTTTTTCTACCTCGTTGCCTGTCGATCAATTCCGGCACATCAGGCTGATAATCTGAAGGGGCCCCACAAGCAGTTTGTATTGGAGCAGCATTTGTGGTTGCATGGGCCTGAAAAATACAGATCGGGTTGAATATAATGCTGATTATCAACATCAATCCAAACAAAAGTGGCGATTGATTAAATGAACGGAAATATTTATCAGTGGAAAAAATAACCAAAAAAGGCCTCAAGTCTATTGAAAATGGAAGATAAAGGATTTATATCTCGTGGATGCAAATCTTCCTCACCATTCTCCAAAAAAACTTTAACTGCATACATAATAACATAGTGCATTGATACTCGATATTAGAGATCAAAACTCACCTCATTCTCCTGATGGGTTGAAACACACGTGTCAGGGTTAACGCCTTTTCGCGACTTGTCATCTGTGTCATCCGAAAACAACGTTGTGCTGTTGGTATTAGCATCACTAGGATCAGAGACAACCAGATCAAGATCATAATTTATGATGTTCTTCTCTGCTAATCCAAGCTGTCGAGCAAAAATTGGCATACACAAAAATGTTACAAAAAATATAGAGGAAACCTTCTATGATTATTTCTCAAACAATTAAGGGTGTCAGTAGAAAAACATATCGGGAACTGTAAACTAGTGTTCGGTTGGTGACTAAAAAACACCGATGTATTATATTCTTTATACTCACCCAAGTTCCAATTCAAAATGAGAGTTACTTAACAACATTTAATAACACAGAAAGAACAGAATATAACGAAATTTAATTTTCCCATTCGCCTCAGGGAAAGCAACAAAAATTTCAGGACGGTTAAAAGAAACGAAATGAAAGGAAGTGATTGTATTAGTACCATACGCCTCCTTCTCCACATGTGTGTCCACAGATTCAAGAGCTCGTTTGTACGTAATGGCTTCACAAGATAGTCAGCTGCCCCAAGTTTTAGACATTTGACAACAATAGCAACCTCATCTTGAGCGGACATCACTAGCAAAGCAACACAGGAAAAATAAATAAATAATAATACTAATAAAAATTTGAAAAGACGATGAGAATTAATACTAAATAAATAATAAAAATAGCTAAAAGAAATATAAATTGAACCAAGTATATACTTACTGATCACAGGAATTCGGCGCAACTCTTTGTCCCTCATGATATATTTTAACATTTTCATTCCTTTAGACATTGGCAGGTCAACTTCAGAGAGAATGATATCTATATCTGGCCCCTCGGCATTCAGTGCATCAATCACTTGCCTTGGCGACTTCACGGATGTCACTGGAAAAAAAGAGCAATTCACATTTAGCACCAAAAAATCAAATATCCTGGTGTAAAATGCAATTCTTGATGTGGGAAGTACATGTGTGTCAGTTTGCAAAAGATTTCTTCTTGTAACGTGAAAGCTAGTTGAAGGAAATGATTACTAATCAAGATCCCCTATAATCATAATCTCAAAAACAGTCGTGTTTCACAGAGACTATGAGTTATTCAGGAATATCACATAACACCTTCTATACCACTAAATTTTCAATTGGGAACACACTCTCCAGTAACATCTGGTGGCTTCTGTTAGTCCATTCTTACTCCTTCGGATTTTTTACTGGGATATACTCTCCAGTCTCCGGTTAAAATGCTTACACAACTTGTTAGCATTAATTGCCGATTAAATATGGGAAGATTATTTGCAGTGGAACTAAAACCCAGTTAATCAAACC